GGCCAGTACAATAAACACAGTTTAAACGACCTGGCAAGAAAACACACGCTGACGCAGCATCTCGCTCCAAACGAACAAGGCAACGGTGGCACCAGGGACTACCCCCTGGGCCAAAGGCAAACCATTCGTATCAACATGGACCGGCGCAGGGGTAGTCTGCACCTGGACGACCGAAGCCGCCGATGGAGACAAAGGGGCGATGAAACTTTCGCACAAATTAGCAATATTACCTTACATAAACGCACCGGACTTACCAGACACGTCCGGAGAGGGCGATTCGACTCCGTCCGGCTCCGCCGAAGCAGGAGAGGATGGAAATCCCTCCCATTCCGGCGAAACCGAGCGGGGCGCAGGTGTGAAAACGACATCGTCTTCAGAGGATGAACGAGGACGAACTCCACGGAGAAGGCGACGGCGTCGTGGGGCGGATTCTCCCGATGGAGGCGACGAAGCTTTGCGGCGAGCCATCTGCGAAAACACCCATATTAGTAAGCTCAAAACATGCGAGAAAGCGCTGGAGGAGCCGTTACCCTTATTAGCTGAGGCAGAAGAGTGCGCACGTACCGCAAGAAGTTTGGTGGTTTGAGAAGAGAAGAGGAGAAGAAAAAAGAGAAGAGAGAGAGAGGAAGCAAAAAGCTCAGCGTCAACAACAGAACTAAGCTCAAACGGGCGAAAAACTGCAGTGAATGAAGCAGAACTGTTGCCATGGAGCGACTACCTGCGAAAACACACCTACACTCACCCAAGCTCCAAGACATCGTACCAAACATCGATCAACCGCACAAACCATTATGGGAAGGACTCAAGGGATTGGAATCTATAACACATTACCCATCATAACGCATATATTCATACTACAGTCTTTAAGGCTTCGAGGGCGAAGCCTCTTGGAGGGGAAGATAGTGTTAGGAGCGCTCGGAAGCGCGATAGCTAGATCCTTAGCTAAGATGCTTAGTCAGGTGCGAAGTGTTTATATTCGCACCCGCGGGCCTGAACTCTTGAAGGCCAGCGATTAGTTCTGCAATATACGTGGCTCTATCTTCTCTCCTATATAGACACTCCCTTTCGCACCGTAGCGCCCCATTCAGCTCGTTACCGACCCCCACGCATAACATCCTCAAGACTTCAATTCGATCCTCTATATCATGAGACTATGAATACCAATAGGTTCGCTTCATTATTTTATTACTACGTACTCCGCATGACTTATTTACATTCAATCCAACGCCTAAGCTGTTGCCAGTATCTGCTGTTTCCTGAGGCTGTGTACTTGCTGAACCCAGTAAATTGATAGCGATTGGTCCTTGGCATGACACATTGGCATTTACCTCCGTTCCTGGACTTGTGGGTCTAGAAAGATTTTTTTTTTTTTTTTTTTTTTTACGTAACTACGTCCTTTTAACGTGACCAACCACCGAGCTGCGCAGACCACCGAGCTACACGCCTCTGTCTGCGTATAAATTAGCACTTTTATGACCCTTAATTGTCAGGGGCTGAACCCGTAGAACTCATAAGATAGGCTATGTACAAAAAGGAATCAAGGAAGAAAGTGGAAAATGAAAAGTCACGTGATATGGGTCCTCGAGGGCCATGGGGCCAAAAGGGCCAAAAGGGCCCCGTAGGGACAGGACAATAGGGGACAAAGGGGACAACGGGGTAATTAGCCCGAGAGGTCAAAAGGAGCTCCAGCCCTTTACATTAATATTTTAACAACATAGAGTATAATAAAAATAGAAATATTCCTTGATATATGAATATTTTAGAATGCTAATAAAATTTAATTAGAATTTTTGTGAAGGATAGGCCGAGAATCGGCCAGGCTCCAGTCCTGAATCCTTATCGATAAGCCGAGTGACGCAAAGCTATGGTAGTATCTTAATGACGCGTTGATGTATTGTCATGATCTCATGGACTGTATCGTTACCTTATCTGTGGGCGTTCTATATATTATCTTGATCTATTCGAAGAAGAGATCAAAGATTAGTTTTTAATATATCTTGGCATAAGATATAGTGATATTTCCTTCTACTATCTTACCTAGCTGACCTGTTGGTTGATCTACCCGGCCAAGTAGATTTATCACAATTTTTAAGATTTTTATAGACATATAATACAAGATTATTTTAAATGCCACTGTATTTAAATGTATTTTTTGACATTGTAACGGGCTGGAGCCCATTTGACCTCTCGGGCCAATATCCCTATTATCCTTATTGTCCCTGCTGTCCCTACTGTCCGCTTTTGGTGACCTTTGGGCCATCGGCCCTGGATCCATATCACGTGATTTTCAACGTTGTTTGTTTACCGCTCATCTTCCTCTTCCTTTCTTCCCTTCTTCAACGATTCCTTTTTGTACATAACCTATCCCATAGGTTCTACGGGTTCAGCCCCTGACAGAAATATAATGAACTGGAAATCCTACAAGGATCCAGGCTTAGTATATATATATATGCCATTGTATTATTATATATGATAGATTTAGGCCCTATTGACATGTTAAGATATTAGGCTTATAAAAAGTGCTATTATATATGTAATTCCTTGGATGATATGAAGGTAATCTTAGGCATAGCCTTTAATGGATGACGCGTAATAATACCTGCCTATGGTCTAAAATGCCTCATATACAAGAAAAAGTACCACGAAACCTGAGTTATAAAGACCCTGAATCGCGTGCTCTCCACTGTAGAAGCCCACCAGATCTTGCATAATAATTAATCTGAAGTGTTTAGAGGTAAAATTCTTAACGCAGGTAAGAAAAGTGCCCATGTTATTTCGGCGAATATTAAGTGACACTTTGGAGAGAGACAGGACCTAGGACGTCGACTTGGTTCGAGTTCGAAAATTACAGCAACTTAATGCCACCCCAACAGGGTCAACCAGTTGTGAAACTATTAGTTAAGGGGTTTGGGTCTGTGATTATCACAATCAGACTTTTGGCTGAGATTTTGAACAATACGCCCGAGGAGGTTGAAGATCGACTACGCTTAGAAGATAGCGGCATCGAAACGGCCCTTCAGGCTTCAGAGCAGTTCCGCCAACTCGTGGAAAATGGAACTATACCAACTTATTAAACTCCTGCTGTTTTCTGTCTTGGCGGTTGGGGTGTGCAGCACCAGCGAAGCCCTATATTGCGACAAGGTAGTGGCCAACGTTTAGGATAGTGGAGAGAGTGGCATAGAGTGTTTTCTAGAAATGATCGACTCTGGAAATGCCACTGTGCCTGTTGCCGTAGGCCAGAGTGAGGAGCCAGTTGAGGACTTGACTGACCGATCTGACGAAGAGATTGACTCCCCAGCTGGGCCATAACTTGTGCGAATCAGGTTCCCAATTATGCCAGTGTTAGTGGGCTCTGTTCCCGCACCGTTTTAAGAACGATAACATTGTCACCGGCTAGCGCAGTCAATGTCAGATGTTATGTGTACAACTCGCTCCGATACCAGCGGTGATAATACAAATGTCGGCTGTTCCTAACCAGTCATTGACTGTAACCCCACTGGTAATGCATCAAATGAAAGGGTTTCTTTTAGCCTGCAGAGACATCACTCCCGACGTATATATTATGCTAGGCGGCAATACCCACAGCTAACTGCATAACTGTTTAGTCCAAGCAGGCTCGATGAGGATGACGCGACTGGTGCGGCCGGACTGATCGATATCCGTTTTTAACATAGCCAAGACATGATCACGATTATTGGGGCACTACCCAAGTCCCAAAATGATCGGTAAACCATGCTTGTAGACCCTTGCTTTCTCCCTCCTTTTTTCTTCTGAAAAAGGAAATGTAAGAGAAAGGAGTAATAACATCTCCCATACGGAATCAGTCAACAAACGCCGATTATCCCTGACGTCCAGGAACGCGCGTGATGGGCTGTGTCGGGCGATTACCCATCGAGCACAGCAATGCCGAGGTTAGCCTGAGGGTCGATCACGAGGGGAGGCGGGGGAATTCGACAAAATCAACTTCGTTCGTGTATCCAGGTCTGGACCTTTGTGGAAGCGGCAGGAATGGGACAAAATGTGAAGGAAACCGTGCAAAGTGCGTGGTAGATGGGGCTAGTACGTGTACGGACAAATAGTGACTCGTACAGACAGCCATGGTGACATCGCCTCTCAAGGCCACGTCATTTCTGGGGTCATCGGTCTGCCTGAAGGGTGCAGTGTTAGGCAGCAGCGCGGTTAGCTGCGGCGTGAGTGAGCTCGCAGGAGTGGAAAGGGGACGTTTGGGAAGGAGAAGTGTGTTGAACTGGTCGGGAGAGGGAGCGAGATTCTTATAGAAATCTCAAAAGCGGCGAGTGGGACTGAGAGGTGGCGCTGGGTGGGGTGATTGGCTCAGGCTGCTCCGTGAACGCTCACTGCCCACTCAGTGAGCAGACTGCGGCGCTCAAGGCCTGCTCCAGGCTCACTCAGTGATGCGCCTGACCTGATCGGGCAGTGTTACCACCAACGAGATTACACTAATAGTCTCTAAAGTATTATGTGTTATATTGGGCTTAGTTTTATGGCCGAGTGTAAAGTTGTAAGCCGCTAAATCAGGATAGAGATGAGACATAAAATGTCAAAGACGCTCAGAGAGGCCTAGGTAAAATTAAGTCAAGCTTCTGACTATTTCCTGCCATTCATGTGTCACTTAAGCTTCATTTCGTTTCCAAAACTAGATAGTAATTATAAGGAGTGCTTAGGGCAGTGCATCATCCCTGTAATGCACTAGCTGTGGGTTACAACGCAACAATGTTACGCAAGACCTATAAAAGACAGATTAAAAGCAGACCCTGACTAAACTATGCAGCCCATAGTTAATGGATCTAAAAAAAAAAAAAAAAAAAAAAAATGTATTGAGACTGCACTGCGCACAAGACACGCGTTCTGCAGATCATCCAGCCAGTGGGTCTAGACTCCATATGGTAGCAGACGCTTTCCAGGCACAAAGTACAGAGTATAATTCCGTATTCTTATAGTCAACGATTATTCCCAATCTTCCAGTCTCACATTGTAGTCTCCTACTTCGTCAACTGCTGGGCTCCCGTTTTCGTCTCTGTGTATTCGGTCCTCAGCTTCAGTTGCTTCATAAAAGCGCTCGCTATCATCGCAATCCCCGCGATGCAGGTATACATAATAAGCATATTCCTGATACTCCATACAAAAGCGTCCTGCACTGCATGACGCTGCACTGGGTCCTGTATGGTCTTGCCGATGTCCACATGTGCCGCTGCTTGCCTACCGGATAAGGCCTGGCGGACAGGTTCGCTGACACCTGCGTCAATCAGGAAGGACTGTCGTGTTGTCATGCTTTTCTGGAATACTTCACCACCCAGTACAATGGACAATGATGTGGCTAGGTTCCGGAAGAAACCCAATGTCGCCGTTGCTGTTGCCGTGTCGGCCTGGCTGACGGTGTTTTGAACCGCGATCATGGGTAACTGGAATAAAAATGCAATGCCGATGCCGCTGGCGATTTGGAACCCGATAATACTGGCTATGGGTGTGTCAGTTTGGAGGCTGATGAATAGTCCTGTTCCCATCGTCATGATTATAACTCCAGCCCAGATGATCTCCTTGTATCGACCTGTCTGCCGGATCAGAATACCAACTATGATATCCATGGTCGCTTCTATGACCATAGTTAGTAGGATTAGAATACCACTTCGCAGAGGCGAGGCTTGCTTCACACTTTGGAAGTACAGCGGGAGGTAATACTTCACGCCCATGGAGACCATGCTGTGCGCCGATGCAGCCAAAAAGGCCGCGTTATTGGACCAGTTCTTGAACAAGCCGAGTAGCATCAGGGGATACTTGGCTAGACGTTTTCACTGAAGAGGAAGAACGCGATCATGAGTGTTCCAACCACAATCAAGCAGATAACCTTCGGACTGTTCCAGGGGAATATTGCGCCGCCGAAGTCTAATCCGAGAAGGAGAAGGGTAACACCGAAAATGGAGAACGTGCCAAACCAGTCCACAGCTTTAACTCCATCGCTTAGCTTCGTGCGAGGGTTATGCACGTCCAAGAAAAAAATTAAAAGAGCAAACGCAAATCCACAGACTGGCAGATTAATCCAGAAACACCACCGCCAACTGACATACTGTGTGAATGCACCCCAATTAGTGGTCCAGTCGACCCTGCGACTGCCCACATCACGCCGAGTAAGCCGAGAAACAATGCTCGGTTGCGCATACTGAAGACGTCCGAGATTGTAATCGTCACCATCTGGCCTAGGCCACCGGCTGCCGTGCCCTGTAGCGCTCGCGCAGTGATGAGCATCGCCATGCTTGTACTCATCGCTGCGATTATACTAGCTGCGGCGAAGATGGCAACTCCTGATAGGAGGGCAAGCTTGCGACCCCAAATATCGCTGCATTTCGCCCAGAGTGGACCGGCCGCGGTGTTGGCCAGCAAGTACGCACCACCGATCCATGTGTAGCCCGAGGCGGAGTGCAGAGAGGCGGATATCGTTGGGATGGATGTTGCAATGATAGTTTGATCGAATGCTGCGACGAAGAGAACGAGCTAGAGGGTTTAGTCACTTGGGCCATTGTGGCTCGGACTGGGGTGCTGTACATAGATTGCGACTAGGATAGCGGCGAGACGGAGCTTTGTGCGGAATTTTAGGTGTTCTGGGAGATCATGAGCCTCGACGGGGCTCTCATTAGGGGAGATCTCTTGGGATGGTCCAGCATCTACCTCAATAGCGTGGATGACTGTGATACTGTCCGCTGGCGCTCGATTTTGCTCCGCCATTTCTAGTAGAAGTTGCTTTCTTCAAGATGGAAAAGAAAAGAGATACAACTACATAGATAAGGAATTTAAGTATCTCATCATAACGCTGTTAGCCGTCATGCTGCGCGCCCTTCCAACGACATCACGCCATAAAACTACAGAGGGTTCGGGGGCTACATCGGGCCGCAGTTAAATAACGCATATAGGAGACGCAGGAGAGACTGTTTAAAAGATCTGTCTGGAAAAAGATGCCCAACGGAATAACAGTTTCACCAATTGATATGGCCTAATAAGCGCTATTGTTTGCTATGCAATCAATCAGGTATTTGAAAGTTCAGTATCCGGAGTACGCCGAGATGATCGCCAGTCCCTACCACATAACTAGAAACCAATTGTCCATCTTTTGTTTTCATTTCATTTTATTTTAATTTTTTAATTTTTTTTTGGACGGAGCGTCTTACTTTATTTTTACCTTATTTTGACCGAGATAACCACGAGTATATTCCATAGTCATAAAGATACATAAGAAAAATATTTGCAACTCTAAAACAATATATCCAGGTCTATTCCAATCACAAATACCGCACCCAATGCCAAATATGTGGCAGCTAATGCGAGATGTAAAAAAAAAAAAAAAAAAAAAATTATTCACACCACAAGCAGACATCATCTATTCATTCTCGACCCATCCAACCGAGTCAGAAGCTCACTATTCGCTTGTTCATCTGCCATTGTTTCCGGGGTAACTCAAATGTCGACGTGATGCGACCGTATGACATCCCTCCAAGCTGACCCCCAAGGGACGCAGCTTGTCAAGATCAATGTGGCTACCCTCCTTGTTGATCGCGTCCTCCTGAACCCAAAACCGAGTTCCCTTGATAAGCACCAACGAAGCAATACTCATGCCGGGTTGTACATGATCGGTGAATTCCTTGATGTCGACCACTTTGCCCTCGATCGAGAACACAGATCCTGGACCCTGGCTGGTTTGACGGTCGTGGTGGGCGCCTTATAAAGGCCTAATATGTCCCATTCCGACACCCCATACGGCGCATCGATCGACGCCACATTCACGGCCACGATCATGTTCTCCGAAACCGTGTTGAGGACACATTCTCCCGTTTCTTTCAGATTCCGATACGTATCCTTGCCTCTGCCCAGTCAGGACGAAAACCCAACAATAAACATTGGCGGATCGTGATTACGGATTTAATTCTGTTCCGGCAGCGCATTTATAGGACTTTTTGTCGGTTCCGCGACCCGAGGCTCGGGTCCACCACCTGATGGTGAGTTAATAGCCATCGATTTATACGTGCTATGCCAATGCGATCTCAAGATGATTCCCTGAGGTATTTAATTATATTCTTCCAGTTCATGGACTGTAGGATAAGGTTCATTGCATGGGCTGCTTCTCCACCGTTTATTTACTTGGATTCAGGAAACAGCAAAGCTGGACAAATATATGCACAGTAGGGATCCACAGCACAAGCACTAATACTATCAAATGCTTAGAGAAACTCAGAGCCATCAGAAGAATCACGAAAGTGCTTCGCGAATAGCAGAAGCAAACTAATTACCGTTAGCATATTAAACGACAATCAGACTTGTAAATTCTCGAGAACACACCGGAATAATCTGGGCTTTCTCAACATCCCAAACACCACTTGTTGTATATACATCACTCATCATCATCTCCTGGACATCTTCCAAGCTGCGTCCGGTATAAATGAGCATACTACCCTTGAACGACATCGACTGTCCCTCCATGGGATGAGACTCAAGCATAGCCCCTATCTAGTGTTAGCTACTGGTAATATTAATCTTCACCGAAGAAGAAAAGAGGGGGAAATTCACCGCCTACGACAAGTTTTCCAGATGCTACAAGTCCTTTCGCTGCTTCGAGGTGTTTCCTGTGCATTATTATTCAAAGCTGGCAGTAGACGATAGACAGGGCACTCACGGTCGAACCTGTTTCCGTATCTCAATAGAATTGGGCTTGTCGGGAACAATACAAAGAAACTCCTTTCGTGCTTCTGATGCTATACTGCGATGACCAGCCCGACTCCAGGGCACTGGCTGGAACGCGTTTCGGAGAGAGGTGAGGCGGAAGATAGAGCGAGAAGCCATTTGAATAGACATAGTGTGCTGTTGAGGACTAGAATGGAGATACACTACTCCAGGTTTTAATTCTGAACAGGCTGCGTGGTCATGTGTCCAGATACGATGTGGGAATGCAAGTAGACCTGTCAGAATTAGAGTTGCAGTGGGGGAACCAGAGCCGAATAAAATGATTGGCTATGAGGGGGAATTGACCAATCAATTAATCTGTGTTGTGCCTTATCTCCACAATCCAGCTCTTTGTTATTTAAGATATCTATCTTTCATTGCTAATTTGTAGAGAGCGACTGAGCATGTTGATATTGTTGAAAGCGTCCCATAGCCGAATCCACCTGAAAGAGAAAAGAAGGGTTAATATTCAAATGTAGTGATTCGCTGCCGTGCATACAGAGTCTTGTCAGAATAGTCCAGATCGGGACATTATGTGAAATATATATACTCAATATCTCTCAGAGGGGTTGGGCAGAACAATTTCCTGCACACAGTCAATCCAGACCTCCCACTATGTAGAACAAGTCATTGCTCCTGAGCTTGAAGTCGCGCTGTCAAATCACCCATTAATCTACCAAGCAATGGATGATTATTACTCGACTTCCTTTGGACTTGACTAGTTCCGCTGATACATAACTAGGAGATGTGAACAAAAATGGGGGTAATACTTCTGCTATTTGGCTACTGGATATTAAGGAGCAGCATTCACAGCCTAGTTAGGACATCATTGCTCTAAGAAATTCAATTTATTGATTATGCATGACAATTCACCTGGCCGTTATTCCGTTCATTTATTCTCTATTATTTACATTCAACTTCCTTTCCCTTATAAATTGCTCCTACCTGCTCCTAACTCTAACCGTCCTTCCTGCCCGCATATAACCTCTTGCTTACCTCTACACCATTTATTATCTTATTTATATGATATTCAATCCGGAATACACCTCCGCATTAAGCAATACATCTTTTCAATAATTCAGAGATTTACCTGGCTAATTAGTAGCCTTGATCACTTTTTGGAATTTATTTGGTATGCCTTTCTATTCTGCGGGTTCCCTTCCATAACAATTACATGACTAGGTTGCTAAATATCAAATTGTCCTGGCACCAGAATCTATGATGTTGCCTGCAGCATCTCATCTGAAAATTGTCGTGCAATACAGTATCCTTCCGCGAAATGGTGACTTTTTGGCATATTCTCTTCTTCAGGATGCAGCCTATTCAATCACCCCATGCTTTATCGAATGGGTTTATCGGAACTAGAGAATATATCTCATATTATGAGAGAGCTGAGACCGTTCTAATTATCAAATTCGCCTGCCCAGCTCAGAGTGCAGTATCCACACTGTTCTGTACAACTTTTCTCATGCACTGTGTGAGTGTTGGCCTCCGTATGGGCGGTTTTGGTCTATCAGCTCCGGACTCTTTTAGAATATAGGTCACACAAGGTGCCTGATGAATTTTCCATTCCTCGAATACCAAGCAAGGAATTGGACGGCCGACTATATTTGTCGAAGATTCGTTCCGTCATATAAATGGAACCGGCGTGATCCTCGACGAAATTAAAACACAAACGAACCAAGAATACTTTGACCTGCTTTGGAGGAACAATAGCATTCTTGAGTGCCAAACTCACACAAGTTGTCGACAGCCAAAGTCAAACACATCTCGATTAAGTATCTTGACACAATCCACACCTCAGTGATTCCAAAATAAATCGGTGTGCCTGAGTCACTCAGTCAACTCAGAGAAGATGCTCAACATTGGATATGGACTAGCAATCAACAGACGAGGATTGTTCTCATTATTCACGTCAGCATGGCAGGGATGGTCGGGTAAAGAAACTTTGGGAGTTACAGCATAACAACATTTGTCTACAAAAAGCACCAACAGATCTGTATTAACACTAATTTTGTATTTGGTCTAATTATATTGTCTAAGTATTCAGATACACTGAAAGGCATTATACACGACCAGCTCCTACCAATGCTTCAAGAGATAACTTAGACAAGCTTGTCTTTTAAAGACTATGTACATTTATTGTTGAAGCTTCCTATATGACTATCTATTATGGCTTCACTAGGAGCCTGGTTTTCGGTTGGTTGAATGGTCTTGTCTTGACATCTACTATTATAAACTTTCCATATATATAGTCTAGTTGCTCTTTTTAGGCAATTTTTCTGGGTTTTCTGTAGACACTTACTATAACTATAGAATGAAATGAATCCGGGGCATCCCAGTCCGGACAGTTGACCGACCATCGGCGAGAGGATATGCGGGGATTGGTGATGTTCCACATGGACATGCCATGCACGGTGTAGATTCAGATGGATACTAATTTATCATGGATCTTTGTCTTATAATAATATACGGTGTGGATGAACTCAGCGCCTCGCTTCCAGATATCGCGTCTGTTTGGCAACCCACGTGGGACGGCTTGTCGCGTCGAGTGGTGAAAGTCCCGGACTAGTGTCCCCAGTCACATCGCCTCCTTTACCGTCGACAAACTCCGAAGTAGGCAGTCTAGAGGATGATATCCAGATAAAACGGGGACATCTGCCATGTCTTCCATCTATCAGGGCTTGGTGGACATGTTTTCTCTCTTTCTTGCCTTTTTGGCCTCGAGGCCAGCTCTAGCTTCCAGGGATACCTTTTATCCCCCTCTGAACCACACCACCTACATCACCGACACCTCGCTAGGACCGTATGGTGGCATCTACACCGCGCCTGAGGATCATGCCAGCCCACACTCGCATGACGATGTCTACAATTACTGCTCCATGCCCCATCCACGCGCAGAAACCTACTCTCTGCCAAGTCCGGTCGCGAACAACTCCGTCTCGGCGCGTCTGGTCTATCTGGAGTATCTGCAACGTCACCAACGTCGCACACCGTACAATATCCTGCCTGGCGGCGAGGTATTTTCTCCATATCTTAGACAAAACATTCACTAATTACCACAGAACCAGCCTTACAACTGCGACAAAGTCCACGCTCATCTGTACGCCGCTCCAGCTCATGGTGTTTCCCCTGCGCAGGTCTACGGGCAGGCCTACTCAGACCCTACCAATCCATTCTTAGACTCGTACGTTAACGGGTCATGCCAATACCCCCAACTCACCATCGGGGGCCTACTTGATGGCTATCAACACGGTCGGGATCTTCGCGCCGTCTACGGCGACAAGCTAGGCTTGATCCCATCGTCGCTGAACCATCACACGGACAAAAAATCTGGCTACGCACCAGTTCCTCACCATTAACGCAGAGCTCCGCGGGTGGAGTCCTTCGTGGGATCTGGCCACACCATAAAGGTTCTATCTCGCTACATCAGCAGGCCTCTGGTATCGACACGGTCGATCGTGGGTTTCCCTGTGCTGCGCAGAGTTCACTGCTGTCAACGATCCAATCGTCCCCGGAATGGAAGGAGCATCTGTCTGTGACGCAGTCGCTGCGGAATCGTCTCGCTGTGCTCTTTGATGCCAATACATCAAGCTGGATGTCTACCTTCGATCACTTCGCCGATAACTTTCAGGCACGTCTTTGTAATGGATACGAGCTGCCCTGTCAGTTGGACGGCTCTGGATGCGCAACAATGGACGATGCGTACACGGTCTTCCGTGCCGGTGACTGGGAATGGAATTACTGGTGGCGATATAATGCCAACGCGACGAGATATATCCAGCTTGTAGAGGGGCTGTTCATCGGTGAGATAGTGCGGAAGCTGGAGGTGGTGCAGCGGCGGAATTCCGAACTGGTGTATAGCCATACTTTTGTTCATGATGGGGATGTGGGTCCTATTTTGGGTGCGTTGGGGAGTAAACGCACTTAGGTGGCCTGGTATGGCGTCAAATATCGCTATAGAAGTTTGGTATGTTTCGATTATACCTCTTTTTCTTCCAGGTACTGACTTTCCACAGGGAGACATCGACGTCGGAACTGTACGTTCGAGTCTTATATAGCGGACGTGCGGTGCAAACTATACATGGAACAATGGACTGGATTCCTTTATCTAGACTGCTTGATATCCTGAGGGTGTTCATACCGGAGGATATTATCTCCATGTGTAAAAGCATGAACAGCCCGCTATATAATGCTACTTATTTGAAGAAATAAAATCAATCCACGCAGCAATAACAGTAAACCCCATCTGAACAGCACTGTGGGTAATTCCCATGACAGCAGACAGCATGAGAGCAAGGCGGTGAGCATGTATAACAGCCTTATTAGAGTCAGCAGCTCAGATCCTCTCCAGCAACAGTTGAGTATATTCAACACACGGGTATTATCTGCCTCGAGAGCCGTCTGGCCCATATCCAGAGCGTGAACCACGGGGTCTTTTTTCGACATCCCTGCTGCGGCTGCGCTGGTCAGATCCATGATTCAGGTAGGGACGGGGTTTATACATCTTGTTTGGCGGTGATCGAGCACCCAGGTCGATACAAGGGGAAGGCAAAGTGTTACGATATAGACTGGCTTCATGATGGGTATGGTGGTTATGAGTGGGGGCGTATTGTCGAGTCATCTCGCCTTGTTTATATATTAGATGGGTTCTAGAAGTCATCTGCGGGTGTCATCTGAGTTGGTTGGTCAGGTGGTAGTTTCGTTCATCTGATCATGCATCATTCCAATCAGTTGTCAGTTTGGTATGGATTGTCAATGGTTAGTTATAGAAGACTAAGCTTATTTATTTTTATTTTATTGGACTTAGCTAGTCTGATAAAGCTAAGAGCATTAGTTCCACGGCTATTATCATTTTAATCTAATTAAACCTACAAAATTCTAAGACCAAGCCACTGACTAATTATGCAGGTCAGTATACGGGCTATATATTTACGGTCTTCAGCATTTGAACTGCATAACCCAATCTACTACAACATAGCTCCGTACTCTAGCCAACCCTACTGAGCCTTCTGTGAGTTTTTTTATTCTTATTTTTTTGTTATTATTATTTTCTCACTCCGTGAACCAGAATTTCACATGATTTGCCTTACGGTTCTCGTAACTCCGCGGGGTCCCGAACGGGTTTAGTATCATGAATAATGAAAGAATATATCGGTTGAGCATCCATCCCTTGCAGACAGAATGGGCAAAATTAAAAATTCCTATGACTTGTAATGTTGAATACATACCTTAATGGATTCCAAATGATTTGGATCTAATCGTGGCTTTGACTATTTTAATATTTTAAATAAATACCGGTCGTCATATCCTAGTTCCTTAGACTATGCAATACAATATGGACCCCGAACTCCCAGAGGATCTGTTCTTTGACACACCCCTGAACACACCGACTACCCACAAGACCACATCTTTGGGATTCCCAGGGAGTAATAAAAGGTTACGGAGCGATCACAGTTCTACTAGGACTAGTCCTATTCCTCTCACTGCAGTGGTTACAAACGTCCAACCTTCCAACCATCAATGCCTACCCCGGGGACTTCAGGAAGAAAAAAGCGCGAGCAGTATTTCTTTCAGACGCGAAAAACCTCCTTCAGGAGGGAGCAAAAAAGGTATGGTACATGCTAGTTATTGCTATTACTACGGGAACTAATGATATGCAGTTCAACGGCCCGTTCCGTATCATCACCACTCTTGGATCTCGAGTTATACTTCCCGAGTCTTGGACTTTATGGGTGAAGAATTGTCCGGATCTTGACCATCCTCAGCTTGTTCGCGATGTGAGTGAGATGAATATAGGCGCGTTGTCCATGCTCATTATGATAGGAGTATTTTGTTAATATTCCCGGGATGGATGGGAATAGGGCCATCCATGGTCCAAGTCATATACTCATTGACGTGGTTAAGACGAAGTTGAATCAGAGTAGTCGTATGTTCAACATTCACACCTACCTGGGTTTTCACTTAAAGTGTACAGATTGCCGGATTATGCACGACAATATATCCGAAATTCTTGAAAAGACGTGGACGAAGGGCACTAGTATGCCTCCTAACCATATACCTCGATTTTATTCCTATTAATATTGTCCAGACTGGCACCCCATAGACTTCCCCCAGGACATGATCCATTTCATCGCCCGCATATCATCATGTATCTTCGTCGGACCTGAGCTATCTCGCAACCCAGAATGGCAAGACATTATCGTCAACTACACCCTCACATTCTTCTACAGCGTGCGCGCTCTGCGCCACTGGCCCGGCTTCCTTCGTCCTGTCATCCACTGGGTAGTACCCGAATGCCGCAGAGCACGGTACCAAGTCCGTCGAGCCCATGACATCCTCACCCCTGTCTTGGAGAGCCGAGCAGCGATGAAACAAGCCGCAAATGCCGAAAATTGCAGTTTGAAATTCGACGATAGTATCGAATGGATGGAGGAGGTAGCCAGAGGTCGGTCTTTCGACCCCGTAGCTGCGCAGTTGGGTATGGCAATGGGTGCATTGCATACTACGACGGAGCTTATTAAACAGACTATCTTGGATATATGTATGCATTCGGGGAGCTGATCCAGACCCTACGAGAGGAAATTATGAATGCGGTCGGGGAAAGTGGATGGACGACAGCGGGATTGTTCAAGATGAAGCTACTTGATAGTGTCATCAAGGAGACTCAACGGCTGAAACCTGGTGCTCTAGGTGATTCTTTCCCTCTTTCCCTATGTCTATTGAAATGTGACGGCTAATTATCTAGTGAACCTTGAGCGCAAAACTATTAATAAGGTCACTCTCCCGAACGGTATGGTTCTTCCCTGCGGCACCAGCGTCGCAGTGGAATGTACCACCTGGTCAGACGCAGAGACGTATCCCTCTCCTGAGAGGTACGATGGATATAGATTTTTGAAAATGCGAGAGCAGGGCGATACCACGGCGGTTCTATCGTCAACTAGTCCCAAACATGTCGCGTTTGGGATCGGACGGTCGATTTGTCCTGGGAGATTCCTCGCAGCCAACGAGGCTAAGATTGTGGTGGCTAAGATCTTACTTGATTATGATATTCGACTGGAGGAGGGGTATCAGCCTTACGTGGTTCATTATGGTTTTGAGATGTTGAGCGATCCATCGGCGAGGGTGGAGGTTAGGAGGCGTTGAATGATGAAGTACGATCTGGAAGGATGAAAAAAATAATAATAAACCAAAAAAAATTCTATTCTAGTACAACTCTCCTAGCTCATCCTAAAGTAGCACATAGAATGCGACAGAATCACTATTATAAGGCCCTGATGGCGAATGCCTACATCTAGTCCATTGTCGGTAACACTACCTATGCAGTAGTACTGATAGCACCAAACCCAGAAATACCCCCAGGGCTCGCAGCACACAAAACCAAGAGACCAGCACACGCAACAGCGGCCAAAACAACCAACTTGCTCTTGACCGGGTTATTCCGTTGATAATCAACCATCTGCAACCGCACATCCGTCGTCAGCGACTTTATTTTCTCCGCACCCAGCTTGTAGTACACCAATCCAGCCAGAGCAATCGAGTACCCGAAGAATTGTTGCATAGTGACGGGGTCCAGGAATATGACCATGGATGCTACTACGAGAAGGATATCCTTGAGGATACCTGCCATTGTAAGGACGACGGCGGAGGTTTTGCCGATCTAACGGATGAGTTAGTGGTGGTTCCTGTGTCTATAAAAAAGAGTTAGGTGATTCTTACCAAGAGTACAACGGCTACGTTGAGAAGGAAAGCTACCAGGGCGTTTGCGATGAGAGTGACAACGCCGAGGGAATTTATATCACCCATGGTTAGTCGAGGGAGCTCCATGAAGTACATGACTAGACCATTGGCTACGGCGCATGCAGGCGCGAAGTAGTACACTGATACCAATGGGTCCATTTTAAATTCGGCAGAGCTGAGAAGACGCTGGACCATGACTAGACGTAGGGCCTCGAAGATGATTCCACCGATTTGGACTGCAGTGTGTTAGATGTGAACATGCGTCTGATCTCCATAGAAGGGGGGAGGGGTCGTACTGAGAAACCCGAAAACATCGAACTTGATCTCACCAAAGGAAGCGATCACAACACCCACAACAATTAAGAAGACGTTGCCGAGGGTGCGCAGATTGGGCGGTGCAATGCCGAATGCCCATGTTGCTAGAAGAGTGGCGACAGCATTGGTAGCCTGAGGGACTTAGCTTCTGTTTTGTTACTTTATTTACTTCGTGGCTGACCTTGAGCATCTGAATGAATGATACACTCAGATAGAGGTAGGCAAGGTTGCCACAAATCAGACTCAAACTGAACATGAGACCAATTGGTACAATTGCTTTCCTACTCGGTATACACACATCAGCAATGGATGTGACCTGCCAACATACTACCTACATGTACTTAATTGGTGTCATAGGGATCTTGTGTCGCGAGTCCAGCGTGGAAGTGAAATGGGCAAGAACCTGGGTCATTCCGTTGCGAAAGCCATGTGCCATGTTGTCAAGAACAGCGCTGGACGGTCAGTTGCTTAATCAAGTAGCAGCAGAGCGGACTCACGGAAATCTACAAACGTAGAGTTAGTTCTTGGTTCAATACATGGGATTAAGTATGTAGACCGTTCTCACCGAATTTGGCACTCGCAAGAACCCATTTATTAAACAGGATGACGCTCGAACTCAGCCCAATCCACAATCTAGTGACCTTAGTTCAGTATACCGATTCCTAGCTTCGCTGATCGGGCGAGGGTGCCAGAGCACGCACATGATGTAGAACGCGGGATGAAGCACATTGCTTTGAGGAGCATTGGCAGCGGTTCCGCTCTCGAGCTTCCGATCATCCTGCGACGAACCCATGGTGGTCGGATCTGACGATTGTCGATAAGGAGGGGCAGAATAGATGGCGAGATGCAAGGCAGCTCATCGCAGGTAAAGATGACACGAGCATTTTATACCCAGCAGGCTGATCGGCAAGGTACACACGTCAACCCGGGATCGGTGGTGCCGCTAAGGCTTGTTTGATCTTCAAAATGGCCGGGATTGGAGTACGTCACCACGTCTTAACTCGTGCAGTTTAGCGCCCAGTCCCTGAATTCATTCCAGGGTCGAAAGCCCCATCTCCCTTTTCATCATCCTGCGACATCCTCTTTAAAGTTGATATAGACCCACGAAACGCAGTGGTTGGTCTGGCTTACTCGATGTGTTTGCAGATAGCAGTGCACAGCGAAGTGAGTAGAATAGAAACAGGTGGCTATGCTTAGGGCATTTGTGACCAGTGGTCTTCACCCTGGATTCATCCAAAGAAGCCACGAAATTTCCACTGAGACATCCTAAATAATTCCCAACATCATAGATCTTACCCAGTGCTCTATCCCGTGTAGATTAAAATAGGCATAGACTTCATTAGCCTCAATGTTAATGCCAGGAATAGCTCGACTTGTTTTGTCTCCAATGCCTTATCACACCACAAGCCGTTTGTTGGCTTTCCGTCCCATTCTTAGTGCAAAACTCTCGAGCGAGCATCTCTCCGTGGTCATGGGTAGTTATATGCTTTGGTGCGCAATACACTGTGTTTAAGTTAATAAACTGCAATTTATTTAAATTGCTGGACCATTAAGTTGTACGCCGGCGGCGATCTAATCCTTCCTACTTTAAGTAAAAACATCACTGATATATATATATACAGAACACATGTCGGCTAACATAGAAGAATAGTTATAACTATAATAGAAATATGCAAGAAAGACGCCTATTACAGTTAATTAATTATCTTTTTAGTCTGGGAATGGGCCTTATCCCCACGTCTAGTAACTAATGGAAATAAGTCTGGTAATAGAGATAGACAGACTCTGTGATTGTGCATGGGATATTGCTGCAGTAAATAGTTAATATTAATCGGGTGATGTTTATATAATTACTGTACTATATTAATAGGATATGCTTTTAACCTAGTAAGATAGTTAGCCTTATAGGGATATATACTAAAATTATTTACTTAAGTTATATAAAAGCCTTGTAATATACAGTTTGGGAGTAACTAAGTGTGCAGCGTGAGCTAGAGCAACCAAAAAACAGGCTTGCTTAAGAAAAATAAAGATATGCCTTATACTATACTGTATGTATATTAATATGTTATAGTAAATATATCTACTAATATGCTGATTATTGTGCCGTAGCAGCATTTGCAGTCAGGTGCTGATAATAATATAAACGTATCAGTGACTTTCGCTCCTCTTTTCCAGGCTGGCGGCTGCCCTTAAATCTCGTTTAATCTTGTAAGCTTATTTTTAAGCTACTAAGTTTACAGTACATGTTTACTTACATACAATTATATACATTTATAAACAGGTATAGTAGTATTAATACCCAGCTAATATAAACATGCACAATAGCGGCATTGGATGGGGATATTTACTAAGTCCGAACCCTTGACAATCCCGGCCGTGCAAAGCCGGTATGTAGAAATGGTGCTCAAAGTAAAAAAAATACCTTTTTTTATAACATAGTTACGTCGGCCGGCACATGGCTCCTGCTAGCCGGATATCTGGTCTTTCCAGGGACCTTTACCTCTTTGCACGATTCTGCTGTGGTTGGGGAAATAGCGACCCATAGCCACACCGGCTCCTGAGGTAGTGAACGTTTATTCCTCTGGTATTTGTGAGACTTGTCAGAGCAGGCTGTTTATGGAAACTACGCAGGAGGAGGAGCCTAATGGAACAGATAATGCACGGCAACTTAACTAAGTCTAACTGGCGGGTGAGATAGATGATACAGCGTACGAGCTCGAGCACTAAATGCTGCACCAGCACTTTTAGCGTGAGAACAAATTGGGTAGGGTTAATGCTGTATCCGCAGCCAAGGCTGAACTGATTTTCAGAGCTTATCCTTTATGCTAATAATGCGCAATTTTCTGTACTGGTTGTACCTAAGATGATTATTTTAAAAACCGATGAGTTTTGGTACTGTAAGAGGAGCTCGTGTATTCACGTCTCTTTCCAATCCAAGGGGTATCCGTGCCAGTGCTATTTGGTAGCCTACAACTTCCCTGCGCATTCTTTTTATAATGGTATTACTGAGATTGTTCATCTAACGTTCATGGGTTACGCCGGAAGGACCCTTGCAAGGCAGCAGGATCTCGATCGCCATCGAGTAGTTCGACTAGCTGAGAAGTCCTTACAGGCAATCCACAATCTAGGCGTGCTTCATAGTGATCCAATACCCGGAAATATGATCTGGGACGAGAAAAGTAGTCGGGTGACGTTTATTGATTTTGAGCGGGCAACGCTGCAAACCCGACGAATACCACTAGGGGGGAATTTCACCTAATCAGAAACGCAAGCGGGAAGTCTGCCTCTGGGAGAAGAGTCCAAGCTCGCGAAGCGGCGCATGAGACATGGTTTATGATGATGTGTTGAAGATAACTATAAGTCTATGACTCATTTAGTTGTGTTGTATGATAAAAGATCTCAATGCTTCCCTCTGGGAGTAGCACTGCCAAATGAACAGACAGTACGCAGAAAAATAAGGCAGAAGACCGGCAAAAGTCAGCGCGTTGATCAACGTCGAAAAGCGATATCTTGCAGACCAAAATGCGCTTTCTGTTTTGCTGAGGCAATGTCACTTCGCTTCCTGCGCTAGCCTATAGAAGGTTAATCATTTTTCCCGCCAACCAATCTGGCTTTTCTGAGGAGAGGTGAACTATTTATAAGATTATCAAATAGGGAGAAAAGGCACCCTTGTGGACGTTACGTTCAAAACCATGGCCAGTATCTATACAGATTGTGTTGCGAAGTTTTCCTTATCAACGGGCGACCTAACATTCTTAGTAGCCTCATCCGGTCGCCAGATTGCTGGTCAATGCGCTTCCGACACCCACCTCTGGATCTGACAATGTTCCGATAAGAGTGAGACATCTCGGAAACATACATACTGGCTTAGGTTCGGAACCTGGCGATCGTCCTTGCCCTAACCCACCTAGAGTTATGCGGCTCTTCTTTGTCGAGGTTGCTCCACACTCTCATAAGAGGGCCAGATGGTAATTTATCTGTTGAAGAAATGGTATTCGGACCGATTCCTTCCTAGGCCTTGGCTACGCACAACGTTGTCAATCGCCGAATCCCCTATCCCAGTTGAAGACCAGGGAGTGTGGCATCTAGTTGAGACGTTGGATATATATCTAGTTGAATATATACGCTCCTTAGCAGGCTACGTGCGTGTAGCTGGTATAGCTTCTCCTGCTCTATTCCCCATTTTCCCCTGTGCACCGTGAACCCCATCGAGGTTTTCACAACATTATGATTTACAGTATATTCAGCCCGGCTTGTGCATACACCAGGATTGGATGGTTTCATTTACCCTGACCCCTGGCCTCAGCGATATACAGGCTATTACACACACAGCTTCTAACACACTCTACTTAAACTTTCAAGGATAAGGGAATTAATGTTACCTATAACGCGCATGCCATTGGTCCTTGCCATGTTCGACAAACTACTTCGCGGCTCACTTGGAATAACAGGATCGCTGACAGCCAGTAATAAGTACCAGAAGCATTCCGGTGCCGCCTAATACTTACAGCGTTAATTAATAAGACCCACAACGAGTCTCTGCATTTGCAATGAATGTTTTACTCGGAAGCGGTGGGAATATCTTATACTTGATTTTCTCTTGCGTCTGGTCAGTTCGAGTAAAGCATCACGCCACCACCGTGCCACCTCTTTTACTCGTGCTCTTTCTAGTATTTAGAAACAATGACATCCACATGCCCTAGCGCACCGTTCTTCCGGTTCCAAGCTTTCACAGTTACACCATAATCGTCCTCTTCTAGGTCGCGGAGTTGGAAATCGTTGGTCTTTTCCCCCCATGGGCAGAGCCAGTAGAGAGTACATATTTTCGTGTCACCATCCTTCAGATCGATAGTTCCTTCAGTACCGGACGCAGCATGCGCGCGGCCAGCCGCAGCAATGTTCCCTGTTTTGTTAGGCTGAATATCAAGCTTGTTTATGTCGCTGGCAGGAACCTCATTGTCCTGGTCGTTTCCGTCGTAGAATTTGCCCCTAGCAGAATTAGTACTGTATGTGCTACAGGCACATTAGAACATTGCATACCACTTGAGTTTTGCGTTCTTGACAGATATGGGTTGATTCCTGATTTTGTTCTTCACGCGGATAACGACCCATTGCGCTTCAGCCACGATCTCGGGATTTTCCCCGTTACCCTGAGTGGAAGCTCCGGAACCCATCGCAGTGGCAAAAATTTAAATAGAACAAAGTAAATGGATTTGTTATAAGCACCAATACAAATTATGGAATATAGTATGTCGCGTTTACTTGGGGGTTCCAAAAGCTTGTAAAAAATGGTCCTTGTTCCTCTTTAAATATCCCCCTGTGATGGCTAATACAAGGGACTCCAAGCGACTAGGAGTGAAATACTACCCCCGTTTGCGGAACTGTTCTTGGCATTGCGGACCTAACCTACTAGAATCTAATTATCATAACAACCCGACTAGTGTTACACAAGCATTCTTTCACCTCCACGTTCACAGTGAGGTAGGCACGCTTGCAGCATTCATACTGATCGTCAATATGCGGCTGGCTGACCTTGTTTAATTCGGAAAGAATGGGATGACGTTCAGAATGTAGTTACAACAATACTTTTCCGAAAGCCACCGTTGCATCGCCCTTGGAAAATTTTTTTTTTTTTTTTTTTTTTTTAAAACAAAAAAAAGCTTTTCAGCTTCAAAACTACAATTGACTACTGCCAAAGTATCTTGGCTCGGCCGAATCTGAGACCAAAACAATGTTGTCGCCCGTTTCCTCCAGCGTAAATGCCGACAGGAATGGGGAATTCGTTGCCCAGTAGGCTGGTTTATCCGGACGAGGCTGCCCGGCATATAGTTACTAACAACTTGAACTTACCCAGTCAAATTTATTAAAGGTTGGCTTGAGCCAAACCCTCGTACTAGAAAACAACTCCATGACATAGACGGACAATGTTGTACGAGTAATATTTTCGCTCGATTCTAGATTTCAAGAGGTGTCTCCGGGATGTCTACCCAGTACCGTTAATATTGTGGCTGATGATTCATGGACTCGTGAAGGGTTGAAGCGATGAAAGCGGAAACAACATGGATGGCGAGTAAATTCAGGCAGTAATTGTCATTTCCCGGAGATACATGTCAGCCAGGCCTTACAGCGGCTCTAAAGAGCCGTTTACATGACACGCGATAGGAGAGTAAAGGAGTCGTCCCGTAATCCAACCAACCACGAAATTCGATCCATTACACTGAAACTATGGAGATGGCTAGTTCACTACATTGTGCGTCAGGTCTCGAAGGGACGTATCAAGATGCAGCAGTGAGAAGATAGGACTTGTTATGGCCTAGGAAACGGAGATGGAAACGAAACCAAATCAACTCTATTCGATACCTTCGAGAATACTAAGCATGGAGAGGAAAGGAAGAGGATCGAGATAAGCAATAGGGTAGATATCCTCATATACTACCACGCTCCATCGTTCCCCACGACCAAACATAGTAGATAGAACATATAACGAACAAGCAAACTGACATGGCAAAACCGTCTGCGCAAACCGTCACTGCGCCGGTTGCCACAGGACTAACAGTGTGAAGACTAGCTACCCACCATTTGCCATGTAAGCATTGAAAAGCTAGGAGACCGAAATCATGAATATAGCAATTTACTACCAGGTTACTGGGATGGAATTCGGGCTGGGACTACCACCTAGCTATCAACATAGGCGCATACACAAAAAGGAGAAGATATTTTACAGTAATTAAAATAATGAAAGACATTCTAATATGAACCGAATTGGCATTATGGCTAGCCACAGGAGCTTTGCAATGTAGATAGTTGTGTCACGACATATTCTCGTCTTCGATGTATTGCATCACCACCTAGTACTAATGCAGCTATTAATTGGCTGATTCTGCATGGGGTACTGTGCAAGATCCATGGCTTACCAAATGAAAATACTAACCGAATAGGCACAGTAGTTAGGGTAAGAAACCGCTTGCGGTTACGGATTCCACATTTTGGCTAGTCACAGAGAGCTTTGTGGTTTTAGATGGTCTATGTCATATTCTAGTTTTCGATGTACTGCGTCACCACTTAGTATGAATGCAGCTATGAATTAGTTGACTTTACAACTATACTCAGCCGAGACCTTTTTAGCGAATGCTTTTAGCGTCAGGTGCCGTGATGCATCTGCTCTATCTGCTGCATAACGCCAGTGATGATGTCAAGGCAAACACGCTACAAATAAGTTAAACCTTCTTTGTTAGGTAGGTAGCCGATTACGATCGTCTTAATGTCCAGGAATAGGCCTTCGTAGTATCTTGTGAATTATCTTATACTTGAGGCTTGATTGCTTCTGATACTATAAGAACACACGCAAGGATAAGTGTACATGCGAACGGAAGCGATCTACATAAGACTTACCCATGGTATTGCTAACTTCAAGGGAATATTGGCCGCTTTGGGAGCAGAGCTTTAGCAATAGAAGTTTAACTCTTGACCGCGCATCCCGGCACCCGCGATTGATCCAGCGTCCCTGAGTTGTAGATTGTCGGTGTCCTCACATAGGCGGCAAACAACCGGTGGGTACTCCTCGATTTAATCTGATCAGCTAGCGCGGGGAAAGCCCTCGTGCATTAAACGCAGGCTTACTTTCTACCTCCAAAGAAACTGCCATGGAGAGAGCAGGTGTCAAGTTATCATACATGGCGTCACCTCTTGAATAAATGGTGGGCTTCCATAGTACCCCAGTGGCACTACAAACTCATCGAATCGTACTCCACTTTCTGTCTCCTTGCATGATGCCAACAGTTCCATTGCACTATGGCTCCTCTGTCAGAATATTGTCGAACTTATAATAGTAGCTGGTCAGCCTTTGCTCGGTAATTGTTTGCTGGAGCATTCACAGTTTGACCTTAATATAAGTAAGTCTACGGTGCCCTTTATACATTCTTGTCATCTCGCTGCGGTAGCTAGTATTGCTCGGTATTACCCAGAACCCGAGGCTACCCATCCAAAATGTACGCACAAGATGGCACGATCAGAATTGTGAACAATAATGGCGAGAGCATCCTGATCGCGAGGGCAGATGCACAGCCGTATGTAGCACCTTCCATTACTACCCAGCACTGGGGCTTGCCTTTTAACATGTTAAAATCACAGCGGAAAATTTCACGAGGCGGGCGACAAAGAGAAGGAAATCCCTCCCCGTGATCTTAATGACACAGAGATCAAGAGCAATGACGAATTCACCGTGAATTTCTGCGGCCGCGACTCGGAACCTACTGATACAAAAGGTACCCTTGATCTTACTGATCTAGATGATGACTGCATCGCTACTCTCTCTTGGAAGGTACCTTTCTGGTCGAAAACGAATACATTTCAGGTGCAAAACATCAGATCCGGCTATACTGTGACTGCGGATGGCTACAACAGGACTGGTAGCGGACTTGGTACTGCAGTAGTAAAGGTCGTCAAAGGTTAAAACGGGAGTTTGGCTTCAATTATCTACCATTTCCCACAAAGCTTGGGCAGAGTTAGTCGCACTTCTGTGTATATTGTTAATCTGTACACTATCTCGAAGGATGATTGTGTCAGATAACAGATAGTCACAAACCTTTAGTTTCTCTCAGTACATGCCATTATTATAATGTTTTGAAATACTTAAAACCTCTACGAATTGAGAGAAAGGGACCAGAACCACCCCCGATAGTCCTACTCGCCAAAGCCCGCTTCGCCTTTTCCCTCATTACTATAAACGCTAATAGAAGCACATTTTCAACTGTCCCTTTTCTTTTTTTCCCCCAGAACACAGCTCTTTTATATGATTTGCTGATCGTTTCAGAGCCACAGCGTGCGACAGAGAGCGTCACCAACGCCCTATCCCAGATAAAGTATCTAGTGGATCGATCTATTGAGAGAGAAAGTCCCGGTGAAATGTTAATAACCCTTCTGTGTAATATAATATGATTTTTCGGCCAAATTAGAACACCACTCAAGGATTTCCGCTCGCGCAATGGATGACCATGATATCATTATATAATCACCAGTTTAGGGGCCATAACTAATAGCCAACGACGATGATACCGTGCTCCAGGAGAGCGTCTGAAGTAACGACTTTCCATCGCCCCACATTTACATTTCTGAATGCAACGTCTATGACAAATTCATCGTCTCACTAAGTTATATGACGAATTAGTTGCGATATATTCTTGGAATTGTGTCTAGCTGAAGTACGTGTTCTTATGGCATGCAGGAAGTGTAATGGTCATCACTTGCACATGTTCACCTAAGGTCCTGCAAGCCATCCGAGTAACAGACGGGTTTGTGGAGCTTTTCTCTGGTTCACTTTCTAATTTTTACGTGCCTTTCTTTACTTTTGTTTTAAACTTTTTGTCTTAAACTTTTTCTCATAAAGAGAATGATTATATAGGAAACCTAATCTGCATTTAGTTCTATTCGCTCTACTATGTACTATAAGTATCCTAATATTGATTTCGACTTGGCGCCGTCTAAAACTAATTTGGACTCTGGACAAGTCAACACATATTTGCAATAATTTAGTGGTCTGAGGTATGAAAGCAAAAGGCCCGTTAAGCAAAACGTAAATAATGCATTATATAATAGAGAGACTGACAAGGATAATAGGTCATAGTTATCAATAGCTTGCTGGATCCCTTTTCATAATGCTTTTAAAGCTATGTCTCATTCATATAATACCCTTTGCTTTCTTGCTGGCCGGCAGCTGCTCTGGTGAGAGTATTCTCGAGCAGACTGTGTTGCAAAGCGATAGCCGACGACCGATATATCTCATTGCCCACCGCGTTTTGCATGCCAGTGCGGTCCCACAAGCTCTCAGTGACGGTGCCAATGCACTTGAGGTGGATGTGGCACCCTATAATGGGGTCTGGTATGCGTGGCATGCTGACAAGAATACACCTTGGGATAGGCCACAGGATACCGTGGAAAATTGTTTAGCGCTGTTGCCGCGCGCAGCATAAAGATGGGAAGCCAATTACTTTTCTCTGGCTGGACATTAAGCACCCAGGCCATTGTTCTTCGGCAGGCAATGAGTGTATCATCACAGAGCTACAGCAAATGGCACAAAAGAAATTGAAGTCCGTTGGTGTCCGAGTTCTCTATGGCTTCAGCCTGGACCATTCTAACAGCGGAGCCTGGGAGACCATTGCTAAGAATTTGACGGCAAATGAAGCGATGGGCCTAAACGCCCGGGCTCAATCGGCCATCGATACATTCTCTAGTAAACAGAATAAAAATATGATCCCTTCACATCAGAGGGTTATAGACTTCGGGTTTTCGGCTCTCTGGTTGCCTCGTATCATGGATTGCCACAACGATAGAAGGAATTGGGGGAAGTATAGCGGCGTCTGCTATGAACTAAGTGCAGCATCCAAGGAGCGCGATCGTGCTAAAACCAAGGAGGCCCAGGATTGGAAAAGGTCTTTGGCTGGACAATTACAGATAAAGAGGAAAACACCGACACTGCGGGAACCTTACTGGGATTCGCGAAGGTTGATGGCTTAATCTACGGCGAAGTACTCTCGCATTACCGAGACAATGAAAGCAATCGTATTGCCATACGAGAGATCAAGAAATGGCTATGGAATAACTCCAAAACACACCGTGCGGCAGGCCAAGGAGATAGCCCTTGGTAACAGTTGTCGCAACTGTGAAATGGTCCGCTATTGTTTGGTGGTAAGCTTTCAGGGGTTCTGAGCAAGGGATGGTTGATTTGTGTAATATAAGGAGACTACAAAAACCATCGCCATGTGTGTGACGTCCTGCCGCCGGAATGTAAATCTACCAAGAAGTATGACATTACCAGCCGTGCACTCCATGTTTCTGATTCCTTAGGTGGATCATTGCTGCGTGAAACGGATTTAAAGTGAATAATGTTTGTTTCCCTTCAATCTAAAACCTACATCCAATTAACGGTTCGAGAAAGGGACATGCAATAAAGGATGTGCAAATCCTGACTTGACATTAACACCGATATTTAAGCATGCATCCATAAAGTACGCTTATTACCAATTTTGATGCAGATCTAAGTTGCACGCTGCGAAGGACCCCATGGTTTGAGGTTCTCCAATTACGTAAACTGTGGTGTTCAGCATATCGAATATGCGTGATAGTTTTGGTAGGCCATTATTTTTGAACAAATCCATTGTATGAAGGAAAGTTTGTTGAATATTTTGGATATACATAGTTTGTTTAATAATTGTTACAAGGTCTTTTGTCGCATTTCCCAGCGCACTTCCGCGATTTTATCGCGCAAAGGTATTGCTATTTAATCACGAATTAACTTAGTAATCTAACAAATAAGATTAGTATTTATACTGGTTGGTAGTGTTACTATATTAATATTGTTATCTCTGGCTTCCTTTATAGGATTAGATATTAGTTAAGGGCTGCCTTCTTACTCTATAAAAGGGCCATTAGCAGTTAAAGCTGGTGTTACTAATAAGGGGGGAGTCTGCGGTGCAGTTATTTTATCCTTTCCTTTGGAGGTTTTTGGAGGCATCGCGGTGGTGATACTACAATAATTATCGCAACTGGTAGCGAATCTAGGGGTAAATCCGCATTAGAAGTAAACAATGAATCAGTAAATAATAATTTAACCCCCCCTTAGAACATGCAATAGGGTGGAATAACGATATAAAAGAAACAGCAGGTAGATTAGTGCTAGCCGAAGCGATTCCGTATATTTTTTATAAACAAAATGGTCTTCGTTTAGCTTGAATTGAGGGGTCATAACCTGTTGGAAGCGATTGCTTGTTCTATTGAACGGGTGGCCGGGTCGCCGCCAGGTTACAGTGTTGCTAAAAGCGAGCTTACATAAATGATGACTAAGCGAGGTCGAAACCGGGGCAGGCGCCCATGCTTGGCAATATGCTCCAACATTAGTTAGTCCCCATCTAGATAAGCTAGACAGCTTGCCCGAGCCCCTGCTACTGGCGTGTAGCTGGTATACTGTACTTCTGCCACACATTCCTTCCCCTGAGCGAATAATCATAACATAACGCATTGTGGATGTGTTAATGTGTAAGACATATGACGATAGACAGAGAGTTAATAGTGTCAATGCTGGTGTTAGTCGATAGAAACTTAGATCTGAAGTCGCCAGAGATGTGGTGATGTTTTCAAGTGGGCTTGGCGGATCGGATTCCTCTCGGCCGAGCCGGCCGTCATATTCTCCCTATATTCAATGATTCGAATATTCCTTTCCTATTCTACTCTCACTCTAGAATAACTACAATGAACGCGACTAATTCTAACATCCGCGGGGACCAACGGTCTCATATTTTCGCAAATACACGGCAGGATGGCGGCGTGTGATCAGCAATTTCAGTCCATCGTATGACCTCATCGCATCCATGTTGAAGCGCATCTATTAACGGCTCGCAGATGGTTCTCAACCACAATGGGGACCGGAATTGTTGGCATTCTCTTCCACATTATTCCGTTTGAATATGCAGCGTTGGACTACATGGCCGTTATTTTCTTCGTCCTGAATGCCATCCTCTTCGCCACCGTCTTCTCCATGTCCATCCTGCGATATGCGCTCTACCCCGAGATCTGGGGCGTAATGATCCAAGATCCCGTCAATTCACTTTTCTCGCTACTTGTCCCATGGGGCTCGCCACGTTGATTGAGATGTGGGTGTTTATCTGCGTGCCAAGGTGGGGTGATTGGGCGCGTACGACAGCCTGGGCACTGTGGATTGTCGACGCGGTTGCTGCTGCGTCAGTGACGGTATCGTTATCTTTTGTCCTGTTAGTTTTCCCACCGATGGTATTCATAAGATCCTAACATATGCCTAGCATATCACAGAGCCATGTCACCTCGCTGGAGCGCATCACGGCCCTCCAATTACTCCCGATTGCTGCAACGATTGTTGCTTCTGGAGCCAGTGCGGAAGTAGCTGATATTTTGCCAGACCCTTACCCCGCCAAGGGGACAATGATTGCATCCTATGTGCTCTGGGGAATGGCGACACCCATGGCAATGATGGTTTTGGTTATTTACTATCAGCGACTGGCCGTCCATAAGCCCCCATCGCGGGAGACAATTGTGAGCTGCTTTCTGCCTCTTGGGCCGTTAGGATTTGGTGGATTCAGGTAACTGTCAGTCCATATGAATAGGTATTGATACTGACTACGCACAGCATTCTCTATCTTGGGAAGGTTGCTCGGAAGCTACTTGGAGAGTCTAATACTTTGGATCCACTAGTCGGACATATAGCCTATATATTCGGCATCTTGATATCACTGCTCATGTGGGCTTTTGGTCTCATTTGGCTGGTGTTTGCGCTGGCTACTATTTATTATAGCTCGCCGTTTCCTTTCAATATGGGCTGGTGGGGATTTACTTTTCCGCTGGGTGTGTATGCAGCCAATACCATGCTATTGGGCGTAGAGATGGATTTGATGTTTTTAAGATCTGTGGGACGGTATGTATCTCCTGTCTATTGGTCTATGCAATAATATAGGTCTGACTGCTTGAAGGTTCTAGCTGCTGCTGTGGTAATGCTGTGGCTGGTGGTTGCCAGCCGGACTGCACGTGGAGCATGGCAGGGTAGTTTGTTTCACGCTCCTTGTCTGCAGAACCTTAAATCCAAGGCAGAGGATGAAGCTATCACGGATTGATCGGCATATAGATATATACTGAATCCGGAGTTTTCATATCTCGATTTAGCTGGCCGGATAGATAGAAGTGCAAATACTCTAGAACAGCAGTGGACAGAGCTAGCCCGGTATTCTAAACTAGTGGAGTATTTCTTACATATAATATTAAAAACCAATAATAGTAATGTGGTTTCCATTTGCTATATATAGAGTAAAAGAAGCAGTATATATTCCTTAGAATATGCCCCAGTATCTGGGTGGACCCTCCTTCCGGGATTCTGCATTTATCCACTGTAAATATTCGTGAGTACAACCCTAGGAACCTATTATAATAGGTATGTTTAGAGGACATACTTACGCCGATCTATTTTAGCATGCGTAAAAGTCCTCCTCGCCTGGGTTGGTCATTTCCATTCTTTGTAGACATTTCCACAACTCATAGAATGGGTAGGCGAACAACGTACGACTTCATTTTTTACTCCCCGCATACTGTGTATATATAACGTCGAAATTTTGTTGTCTACTCTTAAATAATATACTCTGCAGGCACTTAATGGCCAATAAATTTCACAAACTGATCAGGTAAATAATATTACACGGACGTGCTAGATATTATAGATATGTATAAATCCCAGAAAACGAGGTGGTGCCAATTTAGTAGAAGTCGCCTAGCATATGTCAGCATCTACAAGGACGTTAAAGCATATTAAATTTTAAGCAGTAAGTTTAGTATCTATTTTAGCAACGGAATTTAACAGTTCGTTTAAATTTTTAATTGCTTGCATTATTATAAGCCAGACGCCCGTACCAGCAATCCAAATCCATTATGTCGACTATAATAAGCACCAGCAAGTCTAGCACAGTAGTGCTGATTCACAGTTGGTGCGAAATAAAAGATTTTTTCTTGCTGATCCTAGCATGCTCTTGAAATTACTCTGATAATCAGTTCTTTCCATTGACAGCAATAATTTTCGGCTCAACCAAACTCAGTAGGAATCCTAGGTCAGCGTTTATTATAACCAGAATGATAAGCAAAAGCAGCCCGTGGCATGTCTCCGCTATAGCTAGTGACTTGTAACAGAATTTATCTATGCGTCAGAATATGTAACTTTTCGAGGGCTGCAGTGATTTACTGGCTCGAGTATTCTGCTGCTGCAACCCCTTGCAGAGGAATCAAGTCTATCTGCAGCTCAGTCTTCATGCTTATACAAACCCTACATATCTCATCCCCTTTAGTTTACTGACAGTGCCAATTGAATGATGCCTTTCTAGGCTCCCTGGGGGTTGGGGGACTATATCGGAACTCTCTCTGTGTTCTCTATTTATACCTGCATGTATCCCTCTGGGCATAAATCCCTACCCCTACATACCAGAATAGCATACCTCTTTCAAGTTCATTCTCTCCTCTTTTTAGTTTTATTACTTCCTTGGATCAAGTGACTCTGTCCCAGCCACCTCCAATTCCTGCAAATCATGGCCATTCAAAGGGCATTGGATGCAGTCAAACCAGAGAGTCACAAACAGTACAACGGCTCTGGCAAGCAAATGTTGGAGCCTCGTTCCCCGTTCTTGAAGATTACCATTGTGCAGTCAAAGCTCCAATGCTTACGAAGAACAACGTACCCTATATTACCGTTCTCCAAATATTGACACTGAACCCAAACCCAACTGCATCGACTGATTTCGCCGAAAGCTGTATCCTTCGGGTCAAATGCAAGCCAACATCCCTTGACACCCCTGCCAATTGCAAAAATACAGTCACCGGCCACTTTCTAGACGATCTTGAAGCAACCCCGAAAGCTGTATGGGGCTGTTGCTATTGGTAAAACAGTCAGGTTTTATCGCTTTGACGGCCAGGAGTCACCCTGACAGAAAAATTAGCGCCACTTCAAAGCGACCCTTCAGATTTGAGTAACCCAATGGCCTGGTCGAGTTGTGCGGCTGATGGATTTTGTGAAACTGAATGGACGGCAATGGGCAGGGAGTTAACGTTGATGTTAGAGCTGGAGATGATTCAGGATGTCATCAGAGCTTCTCCGGGCTTTCGACAATCCGACCTCCGCAATTGGAAGCAGGGATATAGAATCCAGCAGCAGATCTAACAGCCTCCCAATCACTCCATTTTTCTCGATGATTACGCCCAATCTAGTCCGGCACACGCAAAGCTGCACCAACTCCAGTACAGTCGGCTACACAGCCAATCCGGAGGGTATCCTCCAGCCACTAACCTCGTATCGCAGCCTCGCATCATCTTGGCTGTCATTCTTGCTCTAAATGGCCCCGGGAAATAGAGGAAGCGATTGGAAGTAAGTAGGTGGGTATCTCACTGCTCAGACTGCCCGTCACACGATCTAGATTTACACTCCAGTCTTGCAGTTGACGAGGTCTCTGACTTTCTTATCTTCTGACAACACTGGATGCTGTTTTGTATCCATCGTCGTGATGTCGCGCGCATCCATCATGGTAAAGTATCCTGTTCTGTACTTGATTGTAAACTGCTAAGTGAGAAGAATATTGGAGAACATGAGTACCCCTTCCTAGAGGAAGTCTTTACACCTGCTGAGCAACCCAAGATCAGTAAAGGCGTTCTTCGTCCACTGTTTACTATTCTTTTTTAACATCTCAGCTTTGTGTTCGTCCACGGCCTCAACCCACGTGGGAGAAATGACCATCCGTTCGAGACCTGGACCCATCAAAATGGCACCTTCTGGCCCAGAGATCTCCTTCCCCATGACATTCCCCAGGCGCGCATCTTCATCTATGGATATAATTCCAACATTACGAACCCGCAGACTATGTCGACTGCGGGTGTCAAGGATCATGCTAATACTCTATTGAACTTGTTGGATATGGAGCGAAGTCCGCAGTTGGTATCTATCATCTCTGTTCTCTTCGGTATGTTGTGCATGCTAACAGAACGTTAGAACGTCCGACTCCCCAAGATCATCTTCATCGGCCATAGTCTAGGCGGATTGGTGATTAAACAGGTTTGTGTCATGCAATTCCAATGTATATCATCTAATGTCAACTTAGGCCCTGCTCAACGCCCAAGAAGACCCTAAGTATACCGCCATCCGAACTGGAACCTCCGGCCTCGTCTTCTTCGGCTGTCCGCATCACGGCACCAAAGGCGTCGAACTGGGCAAGATCGCAGCCAAAGTTGCCCGGTTCGTATCCAAAGGCCATGCCAGCAACGATCTGTTAGATTGTTTGGAACATAATTCGCTGTTTACCCGACAGATGAGCGTGCGTTTCTCGCACCAGCTGGAGGATTATAAAGTTGTCAGCTTCATCGAGGGAAAGGAGGTGTTGCTTGGTGGTTCGGGGCCAGCGTCCATCAGTCACGTTCGTATATCCTCTCCCAATGCTGTGGATCACTCAAACTCAATCAACACAGCTAGTCGTCGACGAAGAATCTGCCGTCCTGGGCCTCCCCGGTCAGCGTGAGACCCGCCTCAAACTCGACGCAGATCACTCGCAGATGTGCAAGGTTGGCTCCCGCGGACCGATGTACAAGCTCATCAAAGGAAACATCAAACAGATCGCAGATTCAGTCCTCGTTGCCGAGCAGGGATACATCCTGCAACCGTCGACGACGTCGCGTCTACCTCCCCTGTGCCTCCCCGGATGCATCTCAACAGCAGCGCATCCTACCCTCTCAGTCGATCGCCAGCACCGACTGCCCAACGAGTCATCGGAACGCTTTTTGTCGCTGTCGATAACGATCCCCGCTCCATGCAGGCCGCAGAGCAAAAGAATAATTGGCAGTGGGATAAAGCTCGAGATATAGAATATGCCATCTTCCAGGAACATCTACGGACTCTAGGTCCAGATCACCCACAGCACGTTACTGGTCGGATATAACCTCGCGGAGATCGACCTGCGGTCGAGTACCTTAACAAGGCGACAGAGTGGTGTGAATGGGTCTCGAATAACACCCAGCGCGTATTCGACCGACGACATCCTCTCGCCATGAAAGCCGAGAGTCTCATGGGTGAAATTCTCTGCCACAAGGGCAAATACCAGGAAGGCGAGTCGGTATGCGCCAACGTCCTGGCCAGGCAGCAGATGACCATCGGCGAAGACGATCTCGATACGCTGGAAACCCGCCGAAGACTCGCCGAGGCGTATGGCTGTCTCGGTCGTCGCGAGGAAGGCGTCGCTGCGGCTGAGAAACGTGCCGCACGGCTGCAGCATCTCCTGGTGAGAACCACATCCAGGCACTGGCTGCAGTGCTCTGTACCGCTGAGCTCGTCGTCTCGAACCATACCCAGACCGAGGTGGAGAGAGCCGCCGCAAGATTTAACCCGCAGACACAGACAGCCGTTGATGAAATCTCCAAGGTCTCCCGCGAATTGCACAATCTTCTCGGTCCCCGACACCCACTCACCATCTGGGGGCTACGCATCCTCGGCGCCAGTCAGATGCAGGCCAGCGCCAGCATCACCGAGCCCTCGGAGACGCTGCGACGCGCGCTCGCCAGCGCAGAGGAGTATCTGGGTGCGGACCACCCGAGACTATGAACATCGTGGCGCACATGGGCATGATGTATGCAATGCAGGGCGGCATGGCCAGGTTTTCGTATGGCGCTTCTGGATCTAATGCCGAAATAGCAGTGCCTTGGCTCCAACGGTATCTGACCTGGGCAGAACATCGGCTGGGACGAGCCATCCCGATGTACAGGGCACGCTCTCCATGTTGGCCATGATGTATATGACTAGACAGCAGTATCCGCAGGCGCAGGGCTACTTCGATCGACTTCTCGCTTCGTATGATGAGTCAGGCACCGAGTTACCGGAGAATGTACGCACGATGGCGGAACTATGTCGGATGAATACACGGTTCCTGGAACCGCAAAGAGGATCAAGTCTCCAGGGATTGTTGAAGTCGTTTCAAAGACAGATATAGGTGATGATCCATGCTATTGAATATTACACTATCGACGATTTCCCGATTATCCTATTCCCAATTCTCTAATTCGACCATTTCTCCGACACATTCTTTCTACATCAACCAGTCAGCTACTTGCAAAGTCAGGGACCGATCTAAATACCCAATGAGACTCTCGAATTTTCGCACACTGCATCTGTGATCTTCTCATTGACATCGCGCGTCTATTTCGGATCGATTTTTCCTTCCGAACTTTTCTCTCCTGGGCATATAGAGCTGCGCTTGTTAATAGCTCCGTTGAATCATGGGAGGGCTAGTTACCCTTTGTCCAGATAGTCCTTGTGATTGCCACCTCTTGCGTGGGTTCATCCTCGCTGGCAGGATTCGGCTTTGTTTCTGCCGAAGAGTTTTGCAACTAGGCAGATAAGCATTTCCATGATTTATTGGTGGATCGCAGATTGCGGGGGATCGGGTAAGGGAAATAAGGGAGGGGCATAGGTAGTCCTAGATTTGCGATATAATCTACTCTTTTATCCTGGTTTCTGGAAACGTTGTTTACATTCATAAACTCTTAGCATTCTTTCACTGCTATGTGAGTATTTTCTTGCCATGCAGTGATGAGCAAAGAGTGAGTGAGTACTGTCAGTCAGGGGAGGCAGTTATATGCCGCCACAGGATTTTCACATCCATGGTCCACCCGAAAAGGAAGAATAAAGTGAAAATTGGCATTGCCAAGCGGACTCCGCGGGACTTGCCCAATTGAATGGGATTGGCCCACGATCTGACCATCCTCCCTGGTGTGGCTAGGCTACAAGATACGTATCCATGGATTGATCAGGGTTTGATGACCCTGGGTAGTTGATCGATTATAGGATATTAATTATATTGATTCTACATCCCATCCAGTGTTGTATACTATTTAATGGCAGTAGCAGTAATATCCAGTACAGACTATACGGTGCAGGCACAATTCTTTCTCTTAAAGAAGTTATGAAATTATGCAAATGATGAAAGTCATCTTCCGTTACCGGTTCGTGGGGCAAAAAAAAAAAAGGGCTGCCCAAAGATCAGAAAAAGGACTGAAATAACAAAATTAGGGGCCTGGGGCCGAATTTCAGTCTTTCTGAACTGACAATCGCTTCGGAGATGTCTCATCTCTTATCCAGCCACACTGCGCCATAGAAGAGGAGAAATTGCTGCCTATTAAAGCACCCCCTCAGGCGTCCCCCATAGCGCCTTGTTGTCCCTGGATCATCAGTCAGCCACGATTGTCCTGTACAACCACAGCGAATACGAGCAATCCCATGCTAACCTTCAATAATCATGTTGCCTACAGCCCTATGCCACTGCCGGACTCGATTGGGGTCACGATTGGGATTTATCTCCACCGGCACCGTATCTTCGTTCCTTTCGTTCCGGATTAGTCCCACGCCATCCGACGCTATGGACAGACTGTACCAACGGTGGATCCGTGGTTCCTTGGGATAAAATAAATAATAATGTCTCGTCCGTTCTTGACTCGGCTGAAGTTTCATAGATCTCCATACCCAGGACCGCCCAATGATCCTCTTCTGTCCTTTGCGGCAGCTGGTCTGTCCAGCGCCGCCTCTCTCCCT